GACTTTCCTTTGTAGCATATCCTGAATCACTTTGTCCAGCTGTGACACGTAGTGGACTGGTAAGCGTCGTGCATGCTGACGATTGATACAGGAGCTTCATGCTCTTGGATCAGTCCACTACGTGTCACAGCTGGACAAAGTGATTCAGGATATGCTACAAAGGAAAGTCACCCGCTCATCAACCTCACCCTGGTCGTCCCCTATAGTGTTGGTAAAGAAGGCTGATGGTAGCTTGAGGCTGTGTCGACTACCGTAAGTTAAATGAAGTAACCCAGAAAGATTTGTTCCCTCTACCGCGCATTGACGCCACGTTTGACTCTTTATTTGGTGCCAAGTGGTTCTTAATGCTGGACTTAGCGAGCAGCTACTGGCAGGTGGAGGTAAACTCATCCGATCGCGAGAAAACCGCATTTATTATACTGTCCGGATTCTACGAGTTCGAGACTATGCCCTTTAGTCAGGCTACTGCACCGGCGACTTTCCAATGGTTTTGAAGGGCTTAGTACCCGAAAGGTGCCTCATCTATTTAGATCATATCATAGTAGATGGCATGTCCATAGAGGAGGACAACGAAAGACTGGAAGAAGTGTTCCAGAGGTTGATAAGAGCAGGAATACGGCTAAATTCCTCAAAATACCACTTCCTATGTCGTGAGGTAAAATGTTTGGGTCACATAATCACTCCGGATGGAATCAAAACGGACCCCACTAAGTGTGACAGTATCAAAGCTTGGCCTCGTCCTACCTCGGTAGAACAGTTGAAGGCCTTCTTGGGGCTAGCTTCCTACTACTGGAGATTCATTAAAGACTTCGCCTCAATTGCAGCCCATTCGCATCGACTCACCACCAAGGCTCGTGCTTTTGTTTGGTCAGCAGAGTGTGATCGTGCTTGTTCACAATTAAAGGTCCGGTTGACCTCCCCTCCCGTACTAGCACTTCATGATGTCTCCCGCAATGGGCGCACAGTTGTATTGGACACAGATGCTAGCGAGAACGCCATTGGAGCAGTTTTATCCCAGGGGGTGAAGTTGTCATTGCTTACGCAAGTCGCGCGCTGGATTCGTCAGAGCGCAAGTATAGGACCACCAGGAAAGAACTGCTTTCCCTAGTATATTTTATCAACTACTTTCGAGCATACCTTCTGGGCAAGCCATTTAAAGTTAGAACGGATCACCACTCACTACAATGGCTGAAGAAATTCAAGAATCCCGAGGGTCAGGTTGCGAGGTGGCAGGAAAAGCTGCAGGAATATGAATTCCCCTGTGAGCACCGACCTGGATTGCGCCACTCCAACGCCGACGCCTTATCCCGGATTCCTCACGAGGTAAACGTAGCCCTATTGATAACCGAGGAGGCAGAATGGGGTGATGATTAAGCCAACGACCCGTATATCGTCCGTATCCACAGTTCACAAAAAGGAGAGGGGCGAAAGCCGACTAGTCTCGAAATGAAAGATGCCTCCGAGGAAGAGAAGGCACTGTGGGGCCTATGGAACGACTTAAAGCTAGTTAATGGGGTTTTATACATACAGAAAAATGCAGAGTCGAAGTTGGTCGTACCCAAAACAAGAACATTCGGTTTAGTACAATGTATCCACCACCAAATTGGTCATGGGGGGCAGCTAAAAACCGAAGCCACCCTTCGTCGTCGCTATTGGTGGCCCGGATTACATACGGATGTTGTTAATGTGTGTAACCTAGGCAAAACCTGCGCGAGGATAAAAAAAACGAGTTCCAGCACCAAGGGCATCCCTGGAACCCATGACTGCTATGCATCCAGGTCAACGAGTCGGGATTGATATAATGGGCCCTCTACCGATGATCCGTGAGGGGAACCGATATATCCTGGTCATGATTGACTATTTCACGAAATGGGCTGAAGCTGTTGCCATTCGGTTCCAGGACGCTTCAACGGTCGCGAAAGCATTTGTCCACTCCGACCGAGGCGCGGCGTTCGAAAGCCAGCTGCTGGGGGAAGTGTCTCGTTTGCTGGGTGTAAAACGAACCCGAATGACCCCGTATCATCCTCAAGGTAACGGGCTAGTGGAACGCACCAATCGGACCATAAAGGGCATCCTTCAAGGTTTCTGCAAAACCCTTGATGCAGATCGCTGGGACGAAACACTTCCGCTGTGCATGCTCGCCTATCGTGCTTCGTACCATAGCACCACTGAGTACAGTCCAGCATTCCTGACGCTCGGACGTGAGTTACGTTTACCCGTAGAGATAGCGGTTCCATCGTTGCCGAATGCTGCTGACACCACGCTTGCCTATACTCGAGACCTTGAAGAACGTCTTCAACAAGCCTTCCAACACGTTCGGGAACACGCCGGCCGAATGCAAGAGCAACAGAAACGCGTTTACGATCGTGAAATTCACGGGAATGCGTATAATGTGGGGGACCGTGTATGGTTACATCGACCAAGGCCGCCGCAGGGCACTTCAACCAAGTTCCATCCGCCGTGGCAGAGCCCCTACGAAGTCGTTTATCAGCGTTCACCGACCGTCTATACCATCCGCAAAATTGGCTCTTGAACTAACGAAACCAGCAACAGTACATTTCGACCAGTTGAAACCCTTCTCGTTGCCGAGAGACGCCCCAGAAGCCGAAAAAGAACCCGTATCTCCGGAAGCGCTCCCAGTATTGAAACAGACAGTTTAAGTCGGGCCTGATGGTGGGGAGGCAGTCGTCACGGGCACTGAGGACAGTGCCGACCCATAGGGAGGGCAGTGTAATGGAACTGAAAGCGCATTGGGCGATATGCGTCCTCTAAAACCGAGTTCCCTCTCTCTCTCTTTCCCATTCACACTTCACTCGATGCCCAAACAACCAGGGACGTTCCGTAAACGATAACTGACATTCGCTCCCTTGTTTAAAGTTACTTGTTCTATGTTATTGATTTTGTATCGATTGTATCGGCCTGTTACNTATTTATTGTGCAGTCAATGAAAAGAGACAAGCAGTTTAGAATAAATGAGCTCAACTTAATAAACACTGAAATTGAACAGGTATCATTTTCTGAAAAGAATGAATTCCCATGCGACTTCGCTTAAAATATTTCCCAAATCTGAGCTGCAACTGTAATGGAACTGAAAGCGCATTGGGCGATATGCGTCCTCTAAAACCGAGTTCCCTCTCTCTCTCTTTCCCATTCACACTTCACTCGATGCCCAAACAACCAGGGACGTTCCGTAAACGATAACTGACATTCGCTCCCTTGTTTAAAGTTACTTGTTCTATGTTATTGATTTTGTATCGTTTTTATCGGCCTGTTACGAATTTTTTAATCAATACAGTTTTCGTTCACTCGCAGGCGTTGCGCTTTCAGTTCGCGCATCTTTGGTGATAACCGCGTGTTGCTCAGGGTGCGTAGTGTTACCAATCTACTTTGCCCACTGCATTACACATCTTTCGAATTTTATTACAGCACTCAGGTTCACGCCAGTTGAAACGTTGATGGAAGAGAACTACGAACATGGAAGTGGGAGATAATTTGCGGAATAAATATACCTTATTATAGCCATCAATTTAGTTGTATTATATTGGAGACTGAAATGTAGTTCCATAATGAGAGTGATGTGGCACGAGTTTGATCAACACCCGTTTATTGTATTTTCAGCCCAGGTAGCAGTGAGTCTGTCATCTCTGCCGATTTTGCTTTGATCTATCTCTCCCAAAGCTACGGTCAGTTCGAATTCTGTGGGAACTCTCCACAGGTGGAATTTTATTCGAATTTAAAACTTTCTGTTTTTGAAACCGGGGTATTTCAGTTACTTCGATATAGGTCGTCAATGGTTAAGGTGCGAGTTGTATTTGTTGGAGCTGGCACATTGTCTTAGGCAGTTATGTTGGTGGGCACCACGCTAATGCGACTGCCTGCAGTGCTCGAAACTAGAGTACGGCAAATGGAACATTGATGAGATGAAAGTGCAATAACTGTACGAAGGCTAATAGTCATTAGAATAAATGGATTTTAGTTACGTTAGCTACGGTGATTTTGTGAAATTTCACAGTTGATGCACTAGCAACCGTCGTCAAAAACGTGAAATCGTGCATCTTATTGTCATATGGGTAACAGAAGCAAAGACATAAGATGGTATTATATCAGATATGTTGCGTTTGATCTGGGGCAGTATCACATTCGACCACGTGAGAGAGGCTCGAAAAACAAAGCACTGTGAGGAAGAAAATGTGATAAAAATCTGGATGGTGCTGGAATTTGGTCAATACATGTATATTGCAAGCCGGAATTCTAGCGCCACATCTTTGTACATAAACTGACCATGTTGATTATGGATTCGTTGGGTAGCGTGGACTGTTCGTCTCTTGCTCAGCCGATGGCTACGGTAGGTTAGAATGGGACGGTTCTCACACTCTCCATGTAAGTCCGGTCATTCTGTATCCACCCCATTAAGCACAGGAGAAACGGTATGTGGAGCACAGACCTCAAGTTCCACAAGAGAGGCATGAGTTGATGCATTTGTTACTGCCGGGAGTATCTCGTTGTATCTTGGGTTCATGTTTATGCATTGTCGGTTGGTTTGATTTACTACAGCGCGAAGTCGACTAGGAGTACAAATCAATGACATTAAATTTTGACCACGTACCAATAGATTGAATTTGGTTCGTTCATGTGCGTGAATCTCGGTTTGAATCAGATTGTCAAGCGGCAGCTGTTTTTAAGAAAAGCATGTATCGACCACCCGCAGGAGGAAATGGCGCTGTCTTGCTCTGCGTGTCATTGCTGCGAATAATACATCACATTTCGAACGGTTCCATCTATTCCTCGATCCTGAATCTTTGAATTCACTCAAAATGTGTTGCGCAAGACATTCAGCAGAGAAGCAGTGCCGTTCGCAACCATTTAACTGTCGAAATTCGGGAGGTGGGTGAAAGGGTTTAGTTGTGATCACTTACTCACAGCTCACCATTTTCCGTAATTTAGTAGCCTAAATTCAAACCTTGTTCGAATCCGTATAAGTGTTGCATGTTCTTTTAATCTCTTTTCATTGCGTGAAACTTACCTGTGGCTAGTCAAACCTCCGAGACAATCCTAGGTAAGTAGCTGCGCGTTC